CAATACATTGAATGATGCAGGAAACATCAAAAGCAGATGGAAGGAATACACAGAGTCACTGTACCACAAAGAATTGGTCAACGTTCATCCATTTCAGGAGGTGGCCTATGATCAAGAACCAGTGGTGTTGAAGGAAGAAGTCAAAGCTGCACTGAAGGGAGTGGTGAAAAACAAGGTTCCAGGAATTGACGGAATACTCATTGAGATGTTTCAACAAATGGATGTGGTGCTGGAGGCACCCACTTGGCTATGCCAAGAGATTTGGAAGACATCTATCTGGCCAACTGACTGGACGAGATCTATATTTATACCCATTCCAAAGAAGGGCGATCCCACAGAATGTGTACATTATTGAACAATACCATTAATATCACACGCAAGTAAAATCTTACTGAAGGTAATTCAAAAATGGTTGCAGCAGCAGTATATTGACAGAGAACTTCCAGAAATGCAAGCTAGATTCAGAAGAGGACGTGGAATGAGGAATATCATTGCTGATGTCAGGTGGATCTTAGCTGAAAGCAAAGAATATCAGAAAGATGTTTACTTGTTTTTTATTGACTATGCAAAAGCATTTGATTGTGTGGATCATAATAAATTATGAAGTATGTTGAGAAGAATGGGAATTCCAGAATACTTAATTGTACTCATGAGGAACCTGTACATAGACCAGGAGGCTGTTCGAACAGAACAAGGGGACACTGCATGGTTTAAAATCAAGAAGGGCATGTGTCAGGGTTTTATCCTTTCACCATACATGCTCAATCTGTATGCTGACCAAATTATCCAGAAGCTGGACTATATGAAGAAGAATGTGGCACCAGGATTGGAGGAAGACTCATTACCAACCTGTGATACGCTGACAACACAACTTTGCTTGCTGAAAGTGAGGATGACTTGAAGCACTTACTGATGAGGATTTAAGACTACAGTCTGCAGTATGAATTACACCTCAATATAAAGAAAACAAAAATCCTCACAACTGGACCAATAAACAACATCATGATAAATGGAGAAAAGATTGAAGTTGTCAGACTTAATATTACTTGGTTCTACAGTCAATACCAGTGGAAGCAGCAGTCAAGATATCAGATGACAGGAATTAGAAATACCATTCGATCCAGCAATTGAATTACTAGGTATATATCCTAGAGAAGTGAGAGTCAGGACAAGAACAGATATATGCACACCCATGTTCATTGCAGCACTATTTACAGTAGCAAAAAGATGGAAACAACTTACATGCCCATCAACAGAAGAATGGATAACCAAACTATGGTGCATACACACAATAGAATACTATGGAACCCTAAAGAATAGAATCTGCAAAACACCGTATAACATGTGTTATACAGTGAACTTGGAGGACTTTATGCTGAGTCAAAGAAGTCAATCACAAAAGGACAAATATTGTATCAGTCCATTATTGTAAAAGGTCAATGGAAGGTTTCTGTATGGAAAGAAATTTTCTTTGTTGGTTACCAGGAGTGGGAGGGGAGGGGAGGGAGCATTGTTAGATAGGTAGAGATAAGTATTGATTTGGGTGAAGAGAAGGGCAGTGTACCAGATGTGAGTGATCACGGTGGCATTGAGGAAGAGGAAGACATGGGAGGTGCACGGGAAGTACAGACAACAAAGATGAATCCTTTTGCACATACAGTACTGTGTAGTTAGTGAAGGCAAACATTGATCTGCTACTGGATAGATGGGTTTACAGGCTGAACTATTAGATATGTCAATGCAGGGGCAAGTGTGCCTGAGACCATGTATAGCGTTGACAAACAATGTTTCTATAAGTGTATTTATATGTTCTGTAAAAATTCCCAGGTATATAGTAGAGCAGACAAGGGACAAATTTGTAGTCACTTCTTGACCACAGCCAGCCACCTAGAGGGAGCAAGTAGTTGGACCTGTGGGCTCAGGACCATAGTTGCGAGGGACATCAAGCTCAATTGGCATAACATATTACACAGAAACATTGTTCCACCTCCTACTTTGGCAAGTAGAGACTGGGGATCTTTTTTTTTTTTT